CTGGGATTTTCTTGACATTCTAGATGTTACGTATTTTTTTAACTTAACATTTTATCAAGCACCTCCCTCCCTTGAAATATGCTCCATGAATGTAAGGATTATACTTCAGCAGTACTTGCTACAAAGTAAGCACCAAATACACATTTTGTGAATGAATGTTGGAAAAAGTAGTCACATTGTAGGTTCTGGCAAAAGCGTAACATGATAAATAGATTCAGGGTGATTATTTTGATGTTATCCAAAATTGGACTGAGGGAAAGAGATTTGAACATAGATGCAAAAATCCTCAACAAAATACTAGCAAACCAAATCCAACAATACACTGAAAGGACCATACACCATGATCAAGTGGGATTTATCCCAGAGATGCAAGGAGTTTTTCAATATCCACAAATCAGTCAGTGCGATACACCACATCAACAAAATGAAGAATAAAAACCATATGAGCATCTCAATAGATGCAAAAAAATCTTTCATCAAAATTCAATACCAATTTAGGATAAAAACTCTCCAGAAAATGGGCATAGAAGGAACCTACCTCAACATAATAAGGCCATATATGACAAACTCACAGCTAACATCGTACTCAACAGTGAAAAGCTGAAAGCATTTCCTCTAAGATCAGGAAAAAGATAAGGATGTGCACTCTCGCCACTTTTATTCAACATAGTTTTGGAAGTCCTAACAATGGCAATCAGAGAAGAAAAAGAAATAAAAGGAATCAACACTGAAAAAGAAGTAAAACAGTCACTGTCTGAAGATGACATGATACTATACATAGAAAATCCTAAAGAGGCTATGATAAAACTACTTAGAGCTCATCAGTGAATTTGGTAAAGTTGCAGGATACAAACTTAATATACACAAAAATCTGTTGTATTTTTATACACCAACAATGAAACATCAGAAAGAGAAATTAAGGAAACAATCCCATTTATCATCATATCAAAAAGAATAAAATACTTAGGAATAAACCTACTTAAGGAGGCAAAAGACCTGTACTCTGAAAACTATAAGATGCTGATGAAAGGAATCAAAGATGACATAAACAGATAGAAAGATATACCATGTTCTTGGACTGGAAGAATCAGTATTGTCCAAATGACTATACTACCCAAGGCACTCTACATATTTAATGCAATCCCCATCAAATTACCAATGGCAGTTTTCAGAGAACTAGAACAAAAAAATTTTAAATGTGTATAGAAACATAAAAGACTCTGAATAGCCAAAATAATCTTGAGAAAGAAGAACAGAGCTGGAGGAATCAGGCTATACTACAAAGCTACAGTCACCAAAACAGTGTGGTACTGGCACAAAAACAGAAATATAGATCAATGGAACAGGATAGAAAGCCCAGAAATAAACTCACACACCTGTGGTCAATTAATCTATGAGAAAGAAGGCAAGAATATACAATGGAGAGAAGACAGTCTCTTCAATAAGTGGTGCTGGGGAATCTGGACAGTTACACGTAAAAGAATGAAATTAGAACACTCCCTAACACCATACACAAAAATAAACTCAAAATGTATTAAAGACCTAAATGTAATGCCAGACACTGTAAAACTCTTAGTGGAAAACTTAGGCAGAACACCCTTTGACATAAATCACAGCAATATCTTTCTGGACCCACCTCCTAGAGTAGTGAAAATAAAAACAAAAATAAATAAATGGGACCTAATTAAACTTAAAAGCTTTTGCACAGCAAAGGAAGCCATAAACAAAACAAAAAGACAACCTATGGAATGGGAGAAAGTACTTGCAAACAAAGCAACCTTCAATGGATTAATCACCAAAATATACAAACAGCTCATGCAGCTCAATATCAAAAAAACAAACAACACAATCAAAAAGTGGGCAGAACAGCTAAATAGACATTTCTCCAAAGAAGACATACAGATGTGCAAAAAGCATGTGAAAAGATGCCAACATTGCTAATTATTAGAGAAATGCAAATTGAAACTGCAATGAGATATCACTGCATACCAGTCAGAATGGCCTTCATCAAAAAGTCTACAAACAATAAATGCTGGAGAGGGTGTGGAGAAAAGGGGACCCTCCTACACTTTTGGTGGGAATGTAAATTGATATAGCCACTATGGAGAACAGTATGGAGGTTCCTTAAAAAACTAAAAATAGAACTACCATATGATATATATGGTATATACCTAGAGAAAACCGTAATTAGAAAAGATACATGCACGCCAATGTTCACTGCAGCACTATTTACAATAGCCAGGACATGGAAGCAACCTAAACGCCCATCAACAGATGAATGGAGAAAGAAGATGTGTTATATATATACGATGGAATATTACTCAGCCATAAAAAGAATGAAATAACGCCATTTGCAGCAACATGGATGGACCTAGAGATTATCATACTATGTGAAGTAAGTTGAAAAGAGAAAGACAAATATCATACAATATCACTTATATGTGGAATCTACAAAAATGATACAAATGAAGTTATTTACAAAACAAACAGACTCACAGACTTGGAAGACAAGCTTATGGTTACCAAAGGGGAAAGGTATGGGGGAGGCAAGATAGGAGGTTGGGATTAACACATACACACTACTATATATAAAATAATCAGCAAGGACCTACTGTACAGCACAGGGAACTCTACTCAATATTCTGTAATAACCTAAATGGGAAAAGAATCTGAAAAAGAATAGATATATGTATATGTATAACTGAATCACTTTGTTGTATACCTGAAACTAACACAGCATTGTAAATCAACTATACTCCAATATAAAATAAAAATTTTAAAAAAAGAGAGATTTGGGGGAAATTTTTTTTTTTTTTTTGTGAGAATTTTGCGTTACGCAAGCTTCTCACTGTTGTGGCCTCTCCCGTTGCGAAGCACAGGCTCCGGACGCGCAGGCTCAGCGGCCATGGCTCACGGGCCCAGCCTCTCCGCGGCATGTGGGATCCTCCCGGACCGGGCCACGAACCCGTGTCCCCTGCATCGGCAGGCGGATTCTCAACCACTGCGCCACCAGGGAAGCCCTGGGGAAAATTTTTAGCCCAGAATTTCCTTCCTTCTATCTTATCTAGGTCATCTTCTCCTTTCAGTGTTGTGAGGTAAATTCATCAAATGACAGCTATTCAAAGGTAAGGCTAACCCAAGGGCAGTTATTAAGGGAAATCACTGCTAAGAAACATCAGGTGATGTATAAGGTATGTTTATAAAACAACAGAACTTTTAAAAAGATAAATATACCAGCATTTTTAATACCATTGGGCATATGTCCCCGTGCAAGAAGTCTCCTTCGGTGATTACATACTTATTCATACTTATTCTAATGAGACAGACAGTCTTAAAAGCACTCCATTGTTTCCTTTGGCATTCTAGTCTGTGTTCGGGCTACCTTTATTGGAATCCTAATGACGGCAATTCTTAAGTTTCTGGATGTCAGGGTTGGTTTTAACACAGACAAAAGCCACTAGGAAGCCATGGCACCTGCCATGCTGGATGATGAAGCTGGTACAGCAGGTATTGGCAAGGAAAGGACCCCAAAGGAAGGACTCCAGATCCAAGCCCTGGACTTCAGAGCTGCAATCATTTTAAGATACAACCCTGCTTTGTTTGGGGGTCATTTTATGAACTGGTCATGCTTCTTCACTTCTTTAACATTTTAAGTGTCTCCTATATTTGGCTTTAGATATTTGTCATGGATTTTTTGTACTCATACAAAATGTGTGCTTCCCCTAACCTCTGTTTGTACCCAGAAAGCCAGTTGCCTGAAAGTATGGCTTTCTAGCTATAGCCTGTGGCCACGTGGCCCTCTCCAGACATTCCTCTTCTGCTTCCATGGGCCAAACAGGAGGCCGAGACCATTATTTGTTGTGTGGGCCGCACTTCATGGACTCCAGACAGACATCACTTTCGCTATGTCCAATTTCTTTTCTTTCCACCATGACTCCCTTTTATTAGCAGAAGTTGCTTATGTCAAGTAGGTAATGAAAATAAAGATTGGGTCTTTCTGTTGGCCTCATAAAAATATTTAAAATATTCTCAATAGAATTAATCACAAAGCCAAAGCCTGTTAAGTTTCGAAGTTCCTCAAGCCAGCAGGCCTGCTCCACTGTCATGCACTGCATAAACCTTGCACTGCTCATGGCCTCCATTCTAAACCCCCGCCTTGATGCACCTCACCCTCTGCTCTCCACTTCTTGACATGTGAGTTCTGAATTCATGGCCTCTTTTCTTGTTTGTGGCCTCTCCTGGCCTCTTGGAACTGTAGCTTAGCTCTTTTTCCCTAGCTTTCACATGCTTCATCCATCCTCAAACACAATTCTCTGTGTCTAAGCTATTCTTAGGCAACCGGTTTCACCTGGCCATCAGGATGTTCCCTCTTAGCTTAGGTGATTGTGAGCTCTTCCACCAAGGTCATCCTGGCCCTTCCGGCCCCAAATATCTGCACTAGAAGTGACTCTGAAGGTCACTAAGAGCTGAATTTCACCACCAACGTAAGTTATTAATTTTATTTTACTTCTACCAAAGTTTATCTGAAACCCTAATAATGTTGGCATGCATTCTGAGCAGCCCTGACTCAGGGCCTAGGCAGACGGGTGGCTGCGGTAAGCTAGACCATAGGTCGTAACATTTACCACTTACTCACCCGGCAGCCTGGAGATGGAGATGGAGAACATGACTCTTCAAACTGATGTAAATACAAAGATTACATAGGCAGGGGCTCGCGACCTCCAGCCGCTCCGTGGGACAAAGAGGCAGCAGTAGCTACATGTAAGAAATCCTGCTTCGAACGCTCTCAAGGGTGGCTCAGAAACAATGAGAACTTCCAGCAGATCATCCTGAGGAGCGGCAAGAGCCTTCCCAACAGCAATGCATCTGCAAGAAGCCAGTGGGCTGTTGGCCGGCTTTGTTTATTTTTCCTCTTTTGCCTTCTCCTCACTTTGCTTCTTTCAAACTCTGTAGCCCTTTGGCCCGCCTTCACCTTCGTGCAAGGACTGACTGTTACTTACCATGCCCTTTAGTGTCAGATCTGCTAAGGGAGACCGGTTGCCATGGAAATCTGGCCAAACATGTAAATCAACAGTGAGGAAACCCACGGGCTGAGTCTTCTTAATCAGATCCAGGTGACTGTTCAAATATGCATATATACTCTGGCATCTGGAAGAGAAGTGGATTTTGTTTTTAAAAGGGGGTGGGTGGGTAGGGTCAGGGAGCAAATTGCTCTGTAGAAAGAAATCATTTGTACTCCCATATCAAATCCAGAAAGTAAGCAGGGTCCCAAAAGCTTCAGCACAAAAACCACCCCAACCCATAGAAATCAGCAAACCACACTCTCAAATCACGCTGTACTCTCGTCAAGGATTGGAGGCCTGTCCTGGTGGAAGGTGGAAAGGTTTGGACTCAGAAGACCAGATCCAAGAATGGCTTTACTCCATTGTAGGTGTGTAACCACTACTGTGAGGAAGTTATTCAAACTTTCTGAACCACTCTCTTTGCATCTGTAAAAACAACCATCATAATCCCTGCCCAACTGACCTCATAGGGTTTTGTGAAGATCAAAGGAGACTATGTAGATGAAGATACAGGATTTTGCAAAATGTACACTACTGGACATATGTCAAGGATTTTTAAAAATCAGTATTCTTAATTATAATAATAATATGATGGTGAATGGAGATGGTTCCCCGACTCAGGATAGGAGTTTGCTAAGGGCAGTGATATGATGGAGTGAATGCAGTTAGGATCAGGAGTTAGAAGGCTTGGTTTCCAACCTAAACCTACCAAATGACATTGCACTAGTTCTTTCTCTCTTTAAGCCTTCGTTTCTTCACATGTAGAATGAGGGAGCCAGATGACCTTTCTCATTCTCTCAGTCTATTTACCTGAGAGGGAGACAGAGATGATGGGCTTGGGAGTCAAGGCAGTCCTGCATTCAGATGCTGGTTCTACCTGTCCTAGCTGGGTAAAATGGGCCAGTGACTTAACCTCTCTGAGCTTCAGTTTTCCCATGCATATAATGGGTATAAAATACCTCACTGGGTGAAATCCCACTGCATGACACAAAAGTTCGTTACCCTTCCCCTCTTTAAAGGTGCTTCCTTCTCTTGAACTGACAATTCTAGAAGAAAGTGGGTTGGCATCCCATGCCACTTCCCACTGGTGTCCTTGGAACCACAGCCTTAAACATGGCTTGAATAATGGTAGGAAAAAAGTATAGGAGATCAATGACCAAGGGAGGTTGATATCTAAGATACATAAGATAATATTTATTATTTACATTTAAAATGTTTTAGGAGTGCAGCTCAGCGATTTCTAGTTCTAGTTTTGTGACACTGTGAGTGTCCCTCCGGATCTCATGAAATTCCTAAAAGTTTTCTAAACTAAGTGTAAAGAAAGAAACAAACGAGTAGTGGTTTTCAAACACCTATTAAATAAAAACTTTATGTGGAACTCCAAGATAGAAAATATAGAAAAACAAAACTGTTCTATGTGAGTGCGTGTGTGTGTGTGTAAGTGTGAGAATGTGTGTGTGCACACGTGTGTAAGTGTGAGAAGTGTGCTGGGCGGAGGCAAGGGCAGTCCAGCCTACCAGGCACTCTCCTTGCTTCTTGCCCTGACTCCTCATTCCCGTCTGTAAAAATCTTCGGCCCTACATCACATTAGAAGATGAAGATCTTCTTGGGAAAAGGCTCACTGACCAGAGTAACATCAACTGCTGCTCCTTGCTCCTCTGGCCTTCAAACATAGCCCAGTGAGCCAAGTACCGCTAACACCCCTTTACAGAGGGGATGAGTAAGGCGTGTAGACATGTGACGGAGTCCAAAGTTAAACCCTCTCTGTGATTCTGTATCCCCAGCCAGGAATTATTTGTCAAAGCCCTACATTCAAACTCTGTTTTAGAATGATTCTATGATAGTGTTAAGAAAGGATCCTCTGAGGTCTCCATGGAAGGTAGGGCCAGAACCACATATGTGGGGAGAATACGATCACACCCTGGTTTTCTATCTCCCAGCTCTCTCTGCTCCTGGTCCAACACAGTCACATGGCCAACGATGGCCACAAGAACATCCTTTCCAGCCAGAAGTCAAGAGTCTGCACTAATTCTAGCAACACTGAACTTCAGAAGAGCATCACTGCACTTAGAGTAAAGGGATTAAAAAAAAGAAGAAGCACATGTCTATAAATCTTTTGTCTCTCAAGGAATCTCAGAGCAGGGCATTTGGTTTCAGACATCTGGGTCAATAAGAACCTGTCGGCCTAATTACTATTGATTTGTCATTGTCTCATTTACTGTGGGTCTTTGCAAACAGTGAGATTCATTTAGCCTCTACATATACGGTCACTCGTGCACTAATGAGATCCCTGGGGGACGGGGCATATGCTTACCCCTTTGACTCCTAACCTCCTCGCAGCTGTATGTTTATTCTTTGAATGCAGCCATTCTTCTGCACGTTTTTTCAATTATCCCTTACCATGTGCGCTATCTGAGTATATCATTCAAAATGAAATGCACTTGGAAAACATTAAAATAACAAATGCACATCATTATTCACATAATTTTAACCTTGCATGGTGCCTTTTTTGGTTTTGACTTTGTTTCAGTTTGTATGTTTTATCAATTCTTTCTCAAATGGCGGTCTGCCCTCTTCCAGCTCGGGAATCACATATTAACTGTTCCTAGTGATAGGCCTCCCTCTTTTTCATGAACTCCAGACTCATTTATCCTCTCTTAGAGAGAGAAATCCTTGCTTTCCTAGTCCTGTTGTGTATGAAGAAGAAAATACAGTTTCAAGAATCACAAAGCGACTTCACTGTATACCAGGTGGCTGACCAGGTACACTAAACCTCTCCAAGCTAGTTTACTTTTTTGCTATCAGGTTTAATACTTTTACCTTATAGGCTGCTATGAAGATTAAATATGGAGTCCTGAGTACTATAAAATGATAGCTGATCAATAAATAGTTCCTTCTTGTTTTCCATCACAGGAAATGCACTTCTAGAGTCAGGGAAGATTTTTTTCAGACTTCATGGCTCACAATCTTCAATGCATACCGCACCCCTGGAATCTCTACTTTCCTTCTCCATAAACCATTGAATTCTTTGGATTCACAGGATGCCCCAAAGTATGGTGACCGTACTTTCAAACCCCAAATCAGAACACATGGTCTAACAGAAGAATTTGTGCCTTTTCTAGGAGTAAGAGAAAGTCTTGGAAAAGAAGCTTCCACACTACCTCCAGTTCCTCCTTGACCCACTGCAATAGGTATTCTGCCTGCCCCATTCTGCTGAGACTGGCTCCACCATGAGGAGAAATCCCCGCTTTGTTGCTGTCTCCAATGGACCATTACTCGCCTTTATGTTACCTGAACTGTCTTCTGCATTTTGTACCACTTGGCCACTTCTTACTAATTTGTTTTCCTCCCCTTGTTTCCAGGCGACAGTACTCTTTTGGTTTTCTAGCTGGTTCTCTTCCTCTCTTTGTGCCTTAAGTATATGAAGACTCCCAGAGACCTGTCCTTGGCCCCCTTCTCATTCTTTCTACACCCTTGGATGATCCCATCTTCCTTTCAGGGCTCCAGTTAACTAGCTATTGCTGCAGACTTCCAAATATACGCCCTTATCTCCTGCTCATTTCTCTATGATGAGTTCCATGTCAAATGTCCAAGCACTCATCAAATGCTTCCTCCTGGATGCCCAAACGGACCCCAATTAAAGAACGTCTGCTATGACACACATCATCTTTTCTGATGTACTCACTCTTCTTTCTATGCTCCTTGGTTTGGCCGAAGGCAAACTCATTAAGTGGCTGCTCAAGCAACCGTTTTGGGGGCAGAGTCAGAGTGGGTATCATGTTTGATTCCTCTCCTTCCCTCAGTTTCCAAATTTAATTTTGGACCAGGTTCTGTCAATTTATTATTTTAAATATTCCTCTAACCAGCACGCTTTTCTCCCTCATAACTGCTACTACTTTATGCAGGCCCTCTTCAAATGTCTGGATTAGAGGACTGGCCCTCTAACTTATCTCCTGCCTTGAAATTGTGCCCCCTCCAACTAGGGTTTCTGCACTCCTTCCTGGGTGGTTCGTCTAAAATGCAACTCTGATGATGACTCCATACCTAGCTAAAACCTTCAGTGATTCCTCCCCACTGCCCTCAAGATAAAGTATAAGCTTCCTTGTTTGGCATAATGTTCTTCATTATCTAGCTCTCCCTGCATTGTACCACGTTACAGACATGCCTTCCACTCTGCATCCCTCCTCACCACTGTACACATCATGCTCTCGTGACACTAAACTACTTCTAATTTTTCAAAATATGCAGGTCTTAACCTCTGAATGTTTGCCTATCCTTCGCCCTCTTGCCTAGAATTCTCTTCCTTATCTTCTTTACCTGCCTACGGCTATCGCTGTTCTAGACTCATCTTTTTATTTTTAATTGAATATAGTTGATTTACAATGTTGCGTTAGTTCCCGATATACAGCAAAGTGATTCAGATATATATATATATATATATACACACACAGTAGGACCTTATCGTTTATCTATTTATATCTAGTAGTTTGTATCTGCTAATCCCGAACTCCTTATTTATCCCTCCGACCCCCCTTTCCCCTTTAGTAACCTTTCCCCTTTGGTAACCTTTAGTGTTCTTCCCTTCTGCTCTTCACATGGTTAGCTCATTTATATCCTTCAGATCTTAACTGTGCTTCCATCAGCTAGGGCTTCCCTGACCACCTCATCTAAATGGGGTTTCCCTGATATTCTATCATCGTACTCTGTTAGTTTCTTTCATATCATGTTTGGTCGCCATAGACTTATTTATGGGTTCATTTACTTGTTAACTGCCTATGGCCTTCTCTGGACTTTAAGCTTCATGAAGGCAGACCATTACCAGTATACGTTCAGAATCTAGCAGAGAACTTGGCACACAGAACCACCCAAGAGTAGCCATCAACTGAATGAATGGCCCTTCCTCCACTGTATGATAATTGCCTCTTAATTTTATCTGTATCCATTGCTGGAATCTGAATTCCTTTTGGGAAAGAGTCACATCTTATGCATCCCACCAGGTGCTCAACACGGTTACTGAAGTGTAGAATGTATGAATATTGATCCCGCATGGACTGTTAGAGGTTATTTTTACCTCTCCCTCTCATT